TTTCCACCTCTCATTTCCATATTCTTCTCTCTCTTTTTTTTTTTTTTCCTATCCCCCTTCTGACATCAATTTGTTACGTCTCCGTTTGTTAATTAACTTTCCGTAACTTCGTTCCGACGAAACTTTAGCGACACAAGTCCTTATTTAATAAAACTGGTTTATTCTTTCTGAATGTAACTTTACCAATACACTCAACTTCAACAGTTGCTCTATAACAAACTGTAATTCACGTATCACTAGCTAGACTTCAACAATACATCTCTCTCTGACTGCGGTTCAGTTACTCATTACCTACACACACATTATTGTCCCGTCACGTTGTCACCCTCTTTTATATACCAGACTACCCTATATCTAGTAAATGCTAGAGCATTCGCCAAGGTACAGGATAGTTCTAGAAACGTGGTGTGACAATAGTCATGTGACTTCGCTGACGCAACAACAGCATACTAAACGACTATATGAACAATTTATTGTGATAAAGGCTAGCCACTTTCTTCTAATAAAGTATGGTGTTATTTAATGTTACTGTTGTTCAAGGTGGTTATAAGTGAATGAGAATTCTGTAATTATTACGCTGATGTAATTTTTATGATACAAAATCTCTTCTATATACAATGTTTATACTTGCAATCATTGTAAACATCTTAAAATGATATTCCAAGTTGTATTTGTAAAATAAATTACCACTAATAATGTTAATTTTTATAAAATTAGGTCCTAAATCTCTTCTACATACGATGTTTATACTTGCAATCATTGTAAACAGCTTAAAATGATATTCCAAGTTGTATTTGTAAAATAAATTACCACTAATAATGTTAATTTTTATAAAATTAGGTCCTACCAAAGAGTTAGCCGTATGGGTGGACGAATCCCACATGCTACGGACATCCTTTGGTCGGAACAGGCCAACTTCACCATCTGAACTTCATCCTAATGATCCCTTGGAGCTTTCTGATGAAGCTAATGTGTAAGTATTGTGTTGATGAAACAAGGAATGAGTTTTCATTATAAAGCTAAAGCAATAAATACTCAAAATAAATGTGAAACTCTTTCTTTCACTCAATTCACCAACTGCCTCAGAGTTTGACCAGTTTGGGGGAATTCCATCCCTCATCAGCAACACTGGACAAGGATAAATAAAAAACAAGACTAGGCGTCTTATATAGAGGTGTTTTGGGTCTATTTTACGCACCACAGTGACCCTATGTTTACAGAGGATTTGAAGATTATGTAGCATTGATGAAACTAGTCTCAGTGATAAGTGGTGATAAATTGAGCTTTATATTTCTTTTTCAGTTCTTAAACTTTGTCTGCTGAATAATTTCAACAAATAAACTACTAGAATCAATGTTAAAGAATTCTTGAAAACATAAACATAAGATTATTTTGGTGAGTAAAAGACAACCGAAAAAAACACTATCCTAGTATAATGAATGAAGGGTATATATATATGTATCTATCTATGTACTTGTCCGAAATAATAAATACAATGTGGCGCCATCTATTGAATGGTACCACAAACACAAAATCCATAAAAACATTTCACTTTTTGGATATTCAGGATTCAGACAATTAGAAAAATAACTATAGTATGTGCAACAACCATTTCTTTATCAAGTAACCAAATTTAAGTAAATGTACTCTCTTCACAACAAGAATACAACTTTCACAAGGACTGTACGTAAATATAGAACTAATGAAAATGGAGTTCTTAAAAAAATATATTGTTTTTCAGTAAAGAGCACCACTTTTATTGCATAAAAACATTACAATTTATATCAGCACAATCTAAACACTTTTACCATGCAGTACTTCCCAGAAAAATCCTTTTTTAGAAAATTTTCACATTTAAAAAAATCTTTTTCAATGAGGTATGAACACTACAATTAATAATTACTAGCACAAACAGCCACCTTAGGGCAGTGTTTCTGCTAGTATGTATAACTGAATAAACTGGGCATTTTTGTTTTTAATAGTTACTTTTTTGTGTTGCCTTGTAAATTAACAGTACAGTAGTCCCTGGTGGATACGAACCGTCCCAATAATGACTTCCTTTTAAATATGACTTTTTTTCTGTGCACAGAACGATTTTCCATTGGTCTGACCTCCCACGAACAACTTCCTGGCAGATGCGACATGTGACTGTGTTTTTAGGTGGAAGGTTGAATTATGACTTCTCTATAAGGCATTTTTCACATCGATAATGTAATTTACAAAGACACACGAGTACAATGTACACAGTATGAAACAAAGAGGTCACATGACTGGAGATTGCTTCACAGTTTGGTGTATATGAAACAAAGAGGTCACATGACTGGAGATTGCTTCACAGTTTGGTGTATATGAAAC